GGGGAGGAAGGGAGGGAGGGAAGGCGAGGCGAGGAGCGGCGAAGAGAGGAGAGGAGCGGCGAGGAGCCGAGAGGAGGGCGCCGGGCTGCGCTGCGCGTCTGGAGCGGCGCCTGGCAGCGGCAGGAGCGGCCGAGGAGCAGCCCGCGGCCCCGAGGCAGCGCCGGCCCCTTCTCGGCGTGTCCCTTTGTGCGCGGCGCAGGGGCGGCCCCGATCCATGGTCATGGGCGACAAGAAGAGCCCGACCAGGTGAGCGGGGGGCGGCGCGGCGCGCGGGGGGGGGGTGCCGGGACACACAAGATGGAGGCGGCGCGGCGGGGGGCGGCGGGGCCGCGCGGGCGGATGGCGGCGGCGCCGCTAGGCCCGCTGTGGTAGTTGCGTGCGGGGGGGCGCGGGGCGCCTAAGATGGAGGGAGTGCGCGAGGAGGAGGAGGAAGGAGGAGGAGGAAGAGCAGCGGCGCCCGTGTGGCGCCTGCCTGCCGGGCAGGTAGGGGGAAGCCGCCGGCGCGAGGGCTGCGGAGCGCGGCGCGCTAAGATGGAGGGAGCGTGGAAGGGCAGCGGCGAGGAGGGGTGAGGGGTGAGAAGCGCGCGTGTCTCCCCCCGCTGCCCGTGCCAGGGCTCCTCCGGTGCCGGAGCAGCCATGGCGGCTCCGCTGCTCCCGCTCCTGCCAGACAAAGGGAGATTTAACAAGGTGGAGGCGGCCGTGGGGCCGCGGGGGGGGCACGCCTCCCGCCCGGCCTTTAAACTCCAGCCGCCCGCCCCCGCCGGGACAAATAATCACCGTAATAATATATTAAAATAAATAAAATACGGGAGGTCGCCGGGGAGCTCCCCCCTCCTCTGGCGGCCGTTGCCCGGGGGCGACCGTTAGCGGGGGGCGACCGTTGGCGGCGCCCCCTCCCCTTCCCTGGGTGCGCGTGAGGCGGGGGGGAGCGGAGAATCCGCCGGGTTTGGGGTCTTTATAATATGGTTTCTAATGTGTGTGTGTGTGTTTTCTTTCTCTCCTCCTCCTGCTCTCTCCTCCTCCTGCTTCTTTTCTCCTCCTCCCCAAACACACACGCGCACACACACACTTTTTCTCCCTCCCTCTCCTCCTTTTTTTTCCCTCCCTCCTCAAGGCCAAAGCGGCAAGCGAAACCCGCGGCGGACGAGGGCTTTTGGGACTGCAGCGTGTGCACCTTCAGGAACAGCGCCGAGGCCTTCAAGTGCAGCATCTGCGACGTCCGGAAAGGCACCTCCACCAGGTACGTGGCCGGGCCCCGCGCGCGGCCACCTGTTGATTCCCACTGTTGCCCCTGGGGTTGCCCTGGGGTCCCCGATTAACAAGAACATACATGAATTTAAACAGTTCTCCTTGGAATGCTTGTTAAGTGCTGCGCAGCTTGTGTCATGAGTGTAGCAAGGACCTGGGTCTTTCTGTTGTTTTTGGCTTTCTTTTTGCTTGGCATCAGTTTAAAGGTCTCCAGGCAGCCATGAGTGTCTTGGTTTTGGTCCGTCCAGGAGAGTTTTCTGTGTTTCGGGCAGAGATTTTTTTCCCCATGTTTCCTACAAGAGGAGAAGTAATTGAGGATTAGGACACAAATGGAAACAGATGAAACTAAAGATGCCGCGAGAGCGGCAGCTCCCTTCCCGCGGCGTTGATCTGCCCGTGTCTGTTGTCAGCTGAAAGGGATCAGCTTTATACCCAGCGTGGGGATGGTGCGGATTTCTGAGAGCTTCAGTTCTTGCTGATTTCCCTGTGCAGAGCAGCAGGCTTTGCAAGGTGATGAAATTGACAAAGTACTTACTATTAAAAAAATATATATTTTTTTCTTTTGTGTGCTCCCAGCTAATGGATTTGGAAACTTTGTCGTGGAACCTATTGGTTGCCGATAAAGTAGGGATGCAGTGCTGGCTTTTTTTTTTCTGATTTTTTTTCTGAAATGTTGACTTCTGATTTTTCTTTTTATAAATACTGTGCTTTTGAAATTTGAGATCACATTCATTTTCTTTGCCAAGGAAGCAGCTCTGTAAGGTTTCAGCTGTGAAAAGCGTTGTTTTCCCCTTTGGCGTGAAACAGTGTTTTGAGATAGTCTCAGACTTGGGCATCTTGACTCGATTGATGAAGTTGGTTTTGAGTATATTCAGTTACTTACTGCTTGCACAATGCTTTAAACAATGTGAAGTGCCTATTTTTTTATTATTTTTATTTTTAATGGGAGCATGCTTTCAGGCCATTGAAACTCTACCAGATGGTTGCAGCAATATAGTGTTGTGGTACTTAACTGTGTGTTTTATAATGCCTGTTGATTCCAGGCATGCCTATGTTCTGAGGTGTTGAACTTAACTCTCTTAATTTAAATTTGGTATACATTGTTGAGTGAGGTGTTGAGTGAGGTAGCGTTGTGTGTGCTGGTAGATGTGATTCTTAGTTTTGCTAAATCTTGTTTTGTCACGCAATAAACCTTCAAGGCACAGTTTGTATCTCTGAGGTTCTGTTTTCATGGTTTCATGGTTGCAGGCTTCAGGTAAAACACAGCAGTCCTGCAGTTATTTTGTCTTCAGCCGTGCTGCTGCAGTATCTAGTCTTGCAGTCCCTGAAAGCTCTCACAACATAATGTCAAGCGTGTGCATGAGTGTTTGTAGGAGGAGAAGCTTAATGAGATGTAGGAGTCCATATGGATTATATCTTGTATCATACTGGATCATTTTCATTTGGCCACCATACTGATGTTCATTTTGAGAGCAGAAGCTTTCTCTCGCATGTTCTTATTTTGTTTTTAATGCTAATTATAAAACGTCTGTTTGGATAGAGAGATGTTTTGTCCCCTCAAGGGTCCTTAAGAGGGATGGCAGTCGATGATTTCAGGTTAAGAAATGTAGCCTTGTTAGCTGATGTGATCTGTGGGTCTAGAACATTGTACTTTTGTGTAGCTTTTAATGAATTCTTATGAATGGCTTCTAATTTTAATTCATTTAATTCATCAGCTTTCTATTCATTTTTTTGCTGCTTTTTGAATTACTTTTGTTTGTAGAATTTGAAAAAGTACTTAATATTCAATGGACCATCATCTCTCCTTGCATATTAATTTATGAATAAATACAACATTCAATCACCCTTCTTTCAGCTATGAGTGAACTTTGTGTATTGAGAAGATTTCAGAGGTCGGGCTTCTTTGATGTGGGATTGCTTTGAGTGTTACAGTATGTGACGTACAAGTTAACGGTTGGGAAATTCTTCAGAATTTTTTTAATAAATCGCTAACGTAATGAAACTTAAGAAGTTATCAAACATAAGTCATTGCTTGAAATATGTGATTTCTGATCTTTTATTTTTGTATCTTTCTGTAAGATGTTGGATCAACAGCTTAACTTGTAATTTGACAATTAACAATTTGATGATAGTTATCTACACTTAAAACTACCATGTCTGGTTAAGATTTGCTTGGATAACAAGAAGTAGTAGTTTTAAAAAGGCATCATAGATATGATGAGGCAACTTCTATATCAAATTATTGTGTAATTATGGCATGCTCATTTTTTTTTCTTAAGATTTGGTGTGACCTACTTTTAACTCAACTGTGAAGTCAATTATTTGCTGTAGAATTTACTTTGGCTGATAAATGTTCTCTGATTTGTGAACTAGTTTGGACCTCAGCTAAATCTCACTGTGTATGTTTTATAGACTTGATATAATCTGTGTGTGATGTGTGGGAGGGTAACTGGAAGCACTTCAATGTTTTACTTGCTTGGAACTGACTATCCCCTTTCTGTTCTATGAGACTGTCCCCTAGATTTTGTGCAAAATGCTTTAAACACGGTGTTTTTTTTATAGTCAAAAATCACTGTGGACACCAAACAGTTAAATTGCAGCTGAAGTTCTTTAAGAGGCTGTTTGTAAATATTTGAGGTATACTTTAAAAAAATAGGTCAATTCAATCTCAAGAGAATTCAAAGTTGCCCTGTGAAGACTGCATTAAACTTTCAGTGATTATAGTAATATTAGCTTTGTTGCAGTATGTAACTCATTCATGTTTCTCAGTTCTGTTCTTGCTTTTTTTTATGGTTAAACTTTTTTCCTCTCTGTTCAGGCAAGTGCATCAAGTATGGAGCATTTGAGTTTTCTAAGGCTTTCCTTCTGTGAAAGACCCAAGCCATGTTCTGCACAGCGTTCGGTTCAGCACGATGGCAATTTAACCAACTAGCTCGGGAATGAATAATGGTAATGTGCCTGCTGGGGTTTGCAGTGCTTTTCTTTCCTAGATGTTTTTGTGTTGGTGTAATGGATGAGGGCAATGGTGCTAGTCACCACTTCCACTGGTGTCCTGTGGTTGTTCGGTGGTTTGCTCTGGTGGAGCTCTGTTGGATCCTAAGCTCAGCAGAAGGCTTGAATTCAAACTTCTGCTGGGAACTTTGCTCCACAAACACACATTCCCTTCCAATATCCATTACTTCTTCAAACATAGAAGGAAAGTTTACTTTGGACTTTGTAAGAATGTTAGGGCAGAACTTGGCCTTGTATTTCCTCCTGATACTGCAGGGAGTTGCATGTTCCTATTTGAAGGTAGACTACAGTTCCCTGTTTCCATTTGTTTTCTTAGAGGTATTGCTGCTCCCCTCCCTCTTTTTTTCTCTTTTGGTTTATGTATGTTGTGTTCTTACACACCTCTTGTAACTTCCTCTCTGCTCTTGGCCCAGCCACTCACAATATTTCTGAGTGGGGTTGCTTTAAAACTCCCTCGTCAAATGGAATAGCCCTGCTGATTTTGCAGAGGTCAGTCTCCTGGAGAAGAACTAGCACATAGCAGTGATATTTGTAATTTTCTGAAGTCTTCTGTTTGGATATGTAAGCAAACGTGGGAGGTGATGGAACTTTTTTGAGGTTTTCTGTATCTTTAACTTCAGGATAAGTGCTTTCTTTGCCCGGCTTCACATCCTTTACCATCAATGTGCCTTCATTACAGAGAAATGTACTGAAGAAAGTCAGTGGAAGGTGCAAGAGCGGCAACTGGATGCCTGACATGCAAATTAAAAATCCCCAGGACTTTTCAGTACGAAAACAACAAGTTGTAGCACAGGCCCTTTGCAGGGCGTGCATTTACCAATAAGTGTTTCTGTTGTGCTTGTCACTACTGTGTAGACCTAGTATGTGTGGTTTGGAGATCCCACTGAGTGTTTTGAACATGTCTTTCATTCTGGAGCATTCGGGAATATACATCGTAAGTGTCTCTCTCTTCTCACATCCTTCTTTTTCCATAAAGGTTGGAAGAGACCAGGCTGAAACCGTTCAACATAACTTTGAAATGAATGTCCTCCTGTGCAGAACAGATGTCTTGAGTACTGATCATCCTTCAGTGTGTTCTCAAGAAAATTTCTTTGCATGTTTGTGGTACCTAAGGTAGTGCTTTATAGGACATAAGCTACTGTCCATGTCACTATTGAAAAGTATTCCCTTGTTCTGTTTCCAAGCTGAGCTGACAAGAATAGACACTAGATAGCCCTGCTATTCCTGGAATGAGGAATCAAGCTCACGATCCTGACCTCTATAGAATGAATATCCCTAGCCTATTTGCCATCTGTTTGTGGGACTCTGCTTAAAAATTCTTGTTTTATTGTATAGTTGTGATCTAGTTTGGAAACTCAGTGGTTTCATTCACTTCTTTCATGTTTAACATCTTTGACCTGTGTTAGTAATGAGTGGGTTAAGCTGTAAAAATGGAGAATGTGACTCTTCTGGAAAAAGCTGTTGTGGAAGTTGGGTCTTTTACTCCAGAATAGTGGTTTTATTTTTGGTTTATTTAGAACTATGGTCAAATTGGCCCTCTCTTTCCTCCCCATTCCACTAAAATGGCTCATGGATGGTACTGGCACATGGCCTCTATCAGCCCGGAGTTGTGCAAGTGCATGGTGGCCCAGATTATGGGCAGTGTCCCCTCAACCTCCAGAGTGTGTGCTGTCCTTAATGAATGAGAACAGCATAGTTCTGCTTAGGTACTTTTGAGTGCTGTAGTTCTCTAGATATTTACAAAGTATTTGCTCACACCTAAGGAATTCTTTAGAACTCTTTGTTTCCTCCTATCTTGTTTACTGGCATTATCTGAAACCTAATTAGATGTCACTTAACTGAATTGTAGATGAAGACATCTTTTGTTAAATTTGACAAATACACTAGCTTGTGGGAGCTAAGAATTGGGTGAAGCCTCTGCAAATTTTTTGTTTTAAAAGCAGAAAACACTAATTTTTCACAGGAAAACCTGAACTCTGA